TTTTATGAAGAAAATCCCTTCTTCGTTTAAAATAAAAATAAGCGAAATCGGCCCAATTTCATACAACCCTGCCTGACACGAAAATTTTCTCCACGATAAGGCTTGTATCCATTTCTAACAGATTTTGGGTCGCTTAGTCAAAAATAGAAACATGTATACATATTTGAAATTTAAGAAAACAAGGCAAATAGCAAAATCGGCTAAAAACGGCTAATTCTTTTCTGCAAAACGGCTAACAAATCGGCTGCCGGCTAAATCGAAATTTCTCCGGCTGTTTGTTATCGCAGCCGGCTAAATCTAGCCGGAAAACGGCTAAAATGGCAACACTGATCGCACATTTGTATGTGTATATTAACCAATAACATACATATTTTATTTTAGGTTTGTTAAAAACTTTCGAGTCAGCAAGGAAGTATTTGGACACATTTTCAGCGAAGCGAGCATCCATATAAAAGACACCTACCGCAATACTCATTTGCCACCGTAACTGAAACTGTCCACATTTCTACGCTTTCTTGCAACTAGAAGCTATCAAAAGTCGGTGGGTAACGAAAGTGTCTCAGTAATGGGTCAGTCGACAATTGCAAAAGTAAAGCGGAATGCTTGAACATTTTGGAGGAGCATTTTTGCCACTAATAGGTAAGCATGTGCAGGACCGAGGAAAAAGAAAACGACGTGAAAGAGCAACTCTTCAACAAATGTGGAATACCTTGCATAGTTGGCTGTGTGGACGCGACCCACGTGCGTATAAAAGCACCCAATGCAAATTGCAGACATCTTTACTACAATAAAAAGGGGTTTTATAGCATCAATGTAATGGCAGTAAGTACAAAACCCTTATAACCTTTTTAATGCCACTATTTCAATACAATTCTGATTTCAGATATGTGATGACGATATGGTAATAACATTTGTTGACGCAAGACATCCTGGTGCTAACCATGACTCCTTCATTTGGAAAATTTAATTATCCATTTTAGCGGCTCACACGATAGCAAAAACTCTTTCGTTTGAATTTTACACTTTTTTTCTTTATTTGAAGTCGTATTCGTGTCACATTTGTTACGTTTTCGTCACATAACAAATAGCTGTTATCGACTAGTTATCGCCAGGGTAGCGAATTCGTGTTACAAATACATGAACAAACGGCTGTTTGTACGAGACGAACGCTCGTTTAGAGATAGAGAATCAGGCTGTAAGCTAAGCCTAGACTAACTGAACTTTTCATTTCATTTCATTTCATTTCGTTTATTGAGTCTATGATTATATAAACCTTACAGACTAGATTCCAAGTTTAACTTAACTAAAAATGTATAACTAAGAATATAGGGATTCAATCATTGAGCCAAAACGAGATCTCGGGAGTGCAAAATCTAGATCAAGGCTACTAAATATTCGATTGAATTCAATGAGAGCTCTAGCAATGGGATCAAAATAATGGTAATTGGCTTTGATTAGCTTGACATGAAACGGATAGTGAAAGCGTAGTGTTCGTTGCGGAACATTGAAGCTTATCAGCTCAAGTAGCTCCGGGCAATCAATAAGACCAGAAATGATATCGTAAACAAACATCAGCGAATGAATGGATCTTCTCTAACTTTTACCCAAGAGTCAAGATTGATATTACATAAGATTGCGCCAATCGAGCTGAGAGCAATCAGGCGTGACGCCAACAAATACCAGAATGAGAGAGCAAGACGAACTCGACAAGAATAAGAGGAAGCATCGAACAAAAGGTAGTATTGCCAAATTTTGAATTTGAAAAAGCACCAAATTTCTATTGGTGTATTTAATGGCCTTTATATGCATAGACAATTTTATTGTTAGGATGCCGAATCAAATTAATAGAAATCAATGTTTCTTGCACGACGGGCGATTTCTTCTGGCATGATTGAAGGTGCTGCCAAATATTTTGTTTTCGCTTTTGATTGTTACTGTGCCATGATTTTGTTTAAATTTTTGTAAAGTTGCT